CCACAATGCAAGGGGGGTTGTGCCCTTCCCAGCCTGAGCATCCCAGGAGCTCAGGAGGGAAAAGCACTACAGCTTGAACTAAATGCTGAGTCTCAAATTTTGGTTTTAATCCATGTCTGCATTTCTGCCTTTGTTGGCCATGTCTAATACATGCTATACTTGTATTTAATGGGCTTATTTGCACATGTGTTTCTGACCCTGGCCATGCACAGCAAAGGGCACTTAATTCACAGGAAATGAGCCACTGACTAAAAGCAGGTCACAATTCCACTTATAACAAAAAACCTATAAGATGTAAGTACTTGCAAACCACTGACCAAACCCTGGAAAAGGCTCAGGAGGGGAATGAAAGCACTTGAACAAGGAAGCTTAGAGCTCTGACTTCTATCTTGGTGTCATTGATGGGCTTTGGACAAACAGATAGAATTGTTTTTCTGCATTTCAGTTCCTCACCAGTGATAACACCTTCTTCCACCCCCACATGTTCACATCAGAACCTCCCTGGGCAGGAGTTATCTGTCATTACACTCTGAACCAGTGCCTTGAACAGTAGGATGCTCCAGTCGGTCGGTGCCTCTAAATACATGGTGATGGATGTCCAAGCTTTACAAGTGAGAAATTTGGCTTTTGAGGAAGTGTCAGTCCCTCCTCACAGGGGAAACAAACCAGTACTGAGGTTAACTGGGAGCTGCAGTGGCTTCAGCAGTCAGGAGTCTGACTTGTGCCTTTCTCTCACTCTCGGGCTGTGCCTCACTGTCCCTCTCATTATGTCAAGAAGCTGCTATTGGGCCACATGGGAAAGCAGCAAAATTATGGAGAGGGATAAAAAAATCTATTGTCCCACAAAGAATTCATTTGTGGGACAATGGGGCCTAGAACATGTGGCCAAGAGCAGCTTTTCTTAAGCCATCTTTACTGCTGAAGTCCGTAGAACATCAGCTTCCACCTTTACCCAGCCCTTCATTCCAAGACAAGGAGCAATCAGAGCTGAGGTGGTGGGAGAATTTCCATCTCATCACATTGAGTCTACAGGAACATAGAGGCTCAAAAGGAACCGAAGAACAAACCACCCTGCGCAGATGTCAAAAGAACTAAATTTTAGCAGAAACTTGGATGACAGTGTGAGCTGCTCTGCAATCAGCTTGAGAACAGCTGGAAATGATGGCACATGATTTTTTTAGCATCTTTCATATGCAGGTTTTATCACAGCACAAGGCACAGAATGATCTGTTACAACAGTGACTCACCAATAAATGCAGCTTCCTATACCTCCTGAAGCCTTGGTCACTGGAACCAATTATAATATGAATGGGAATAAAGATCACCTGGTGCTCTTTTCCAAAAGATTCACTTACTGCCTAAACCAGCCATGATGAACAGCAGCACTTGGGCCCAACATCCAGTCCTGACTCAGCCAAGATAGCACACAAGTGGGAGATGCTGTCAGCAGGTTACCTGTCACCAGGATCAGCTGTAACAGTGCAGTAACAGGAGGCTGTATTGCACTTAACCACCATATAGGTTAAGGAGGAATACAGTCCTAATCAATGGCAGCATGTGCATTATTTACAAGTACATTAAACCTGAATGCTGAAAACAGGGAGTCAGGTTTAAGGCATGATGGAAGATGGCCACTAGGAGTGAAAGGAGGGAGAAAAAATGATCAGGCAAGTGGATTTTGAGAGAAGGTCATTGGGAGACCAGACAGCTCACTAGTACAGCATGGAAAAAGCAGCCTGTGACAGCTGAGGAAGAACTCAGCAGGCAGCAAAAAAGCACCTATGTGAGAGAGCCCTGTGGGCTTCCAAAATGGACTTCCTAACCAGCGTTAGGGTTCAGTACAGGAAAAGACCAAGAGGCACATCCCAACTGGCAACTATGTGAGCAGACTTCCCTTATTACATCTTGGACAAGCTGAGACGTAAAACAACCATCCAGAACCTTAGGAGAACAACCCTGAATGCCAGGGAAGAAGATTACCAGCTCTGGGTCTGGAGAACAAAAGGGATGTTGCCAAGCCCCAGTTAATTAGCAGCACACCATGTGGGTTTTGTTCACCAGAGATGTCTGTCTCTAGGATATTGGTACTGTGCAATATCATTCTCTACCCTCCAGGATTATATTCAGATTACATTATATAAGCACGTTTTTAAACCATGCAGAAGTAATCAAGTACTTAGAACATGATGTGAAATATTATCAGTAATTCACCAGCTTTTGCAGTAAAACCACTGAGATTAGCCTCTTTGATGATTTTTCCTATGCTCTACTTGTTTATTGGAAATTACTATAATAAATTAGTCAACTAGAACTAGTTTAGTTACCCATAGTCTCCAAGCAGAAAGCTAATTTATATGGCAGACATACACTGCATGTGCACTGTTCTTGTATGTCACAGCCAAGTGTAACTCCCAAGTTCTGTCTTTCCATGCATATATCTAGTACACAGTTATACAAACACCCAAACTAACAGCAGAATTTACCACAGGTTTTTTACAACCACAATATTGTAAATTTCTTTTCTGCAATAGATGCATAGGTCATCCCTAGAAATATGGAATATTGTTATTGTTAAACTGTCAATAACAGCATACAGACCAACTTTGGCATTTTCAAACACTGGGTTCCTTTGTTTTCGCTCTGCTCATGTTATATTTTCCTAGCTGTTGCTCTGCTGAGGACACAGCAACACAGACAATTCTGATATGGCTTTAATGCCTCTTTCAGTGCTGTTTCCAGATACCATTTTGGCAGAACAAAGCCAGAATCCGAATGCCAGCATCTCCCATCTGTACCTTAACCAACAAAAAATATTTTCATTAACTAGGTACCTTCTTAGCTACAGCAAAACCCAGTGTAAAGCAGGTATAACAAAGGTTTTTTAACTTCACTGACAGAAGAGGAAGAGTATAAAAAGAGAATAAAGAACTGCATTTTCTCATGGAGTTATATCTGAAGATTTACATTAAATCGAGGATAGGCAGGGCTGAGAGCTGCCATTAGAGAAAGGCTGTGGCCATATTAAGAGACCAGAATGAAACATGGCAGAATCTCTAAAATTAAGGGAGGCCACACCTCCATTTGGCAGCTGTAACTGTGCTGAGAATAACTCCACTAGGATACATCATCACTCTGAAAGGCAGTGATTTCTTCCCAGGAAAACTCCTCTGTGGAAAACAATATCTCTTCTGTGTGCTTGTCCCCCACGAAGTGTTTTGGGGAAATGAGTATCCCACTTGACAGACAAGGAATTCTAGGGAGAGATGCTTTAGTCAAGGTCACACAATGACTCACTGCTGAGGCTGCCCCTGCAGTTCATGCCTCACACACTCACATCCATTGTCTTTTACTAAAGGCAAAAGCCTTCTGGATTTTCAATAGTTACCAAATCAACCAGGTCATCTGCTTGGAGCAAAACATCAAGGAATAGTGAAGAGCAATTCCCCTCTTGCAAAGAATACTCAGGATACTCCAGGTCCAAACAAAGAATGGAATGCCTGAATTGCTTGAGGAAGAGAAAATCAGGGGGGCTGTGGGTGCCCTCTGTGCACCCCACTTTGGCTCTGCTGCCAGCAGAGCTTGCCCACAATCATGTTTTGGGCAAGGAAGAAGGATTGGCCTTGAAGCCATTGCATTCCTGGGGTCCTCCTGAGACTCCATGGGAAAGACAGCACCCACTGCTGCAGAGGGAGCACCCCAGGCACAGACACAGCTGGCAGCTGAGCTCCACAGGAGCAACCCTGCCCCCAGGTCACGCCTTCTGAGCAGAAGGTTTGATTTTTGACTTATTCTTCATCCCACAGTCCAAGTGACACGCAGAGGAACCGGCACACTGACACCCCCTCTGCATACAGGGGCACACTCAAACCTGCCATGCAGGGGATGCCTTCCCACACTGCCCCCCAGACCTACCACAGCAACCATCCACCACGCAGTCCCTGCACAAACACTCCTCAAATACACCCTCTCACACACACACACACATTTGAACATCTCAAGGCACCTCCCTTCCACACAGACCCTGCACAGACCATATTCAGACACAGCACATGAGCTCCCAACGCCCTCTCCACACACATTGCTCTGCAAGACCTCCCCAGCACTCACCTTACACACACACAGCCCAACACACCTCTATACACTCCCTGAGCACAAACCCCAGAGCACACCCTGTGCATGAACACCCTGGAGAAATCCCAGCACCTCCTCTGCAATCAAACCTTCACAGACAAACTCCCAAATTTCACCAAGTGCAACCTGCTCAGAACACCCTTCTCCATACAAAAGCCTTGTTCATTAACTCCCCTTCCTAAACATGCGCTGTGAACTTCCAACACCCCCCTCCACACACTCCAAGCACTAAAAACTCCCAACACCCCGCCTTCCACACATCCATCATCCACACAGTGCCTGCACCCCAAACACCCCTCTCCACGCACACCCAAGTCCCTGCACAACCCTGACCACACCCCTGTAGGTTGTGCACACACACCTTGTGTGCATAATACCCCCCAAAACACCCCTATACCCAACGTGAGTAAATCCTTCCCACGCCCATTTGCACACCCACTACACGAACGCCTCAGCACCCCTTGCTTTTCCAGTCAACCCCATCCACCCCGGCGGGAAACCCACATCCCTTCCCAGCCTCGCCCTGCACCCGTCGGGGTCCACCCCTCGGCCCCCCAGCCCGGGCAGAGGTGGGGACACCCTCAGACAGCCCCCGAGCCATGGACACAGCCATGTCTAGCGGAGAGCAGACACACCCCTCTGGCTGCACATCCGCAGCCGAGCGAGCGCGCTGGGGACACCGCGGGGGTGTCACCGCCGCCCTCTCCCGCACCGCTCGGGAGGGGAAGGCGGGCGGGCAGGTTCAGCACAGCGGGGCAGAAGCATCCCCGCTTCTCGCCCGAGGAAATGTGACCTTATCGGCAGACCCGAGTGGTGCAGCCCCCTTCCCACCCCGCCTCCTCACTGCACCAGGCAGCGATGCTAATTACCTTCCTCCAGCTCGTCCATGCTCCCGATCTTCCGCGAGCCATCGATGGTGTAAATGTAACGGACTCCCTGAGGCAGATTAATGTTGTCGGACAGGGACCGGGTCAGGTCGGCCAGGAGGGCATCAAAACTTCGGAAGCGGTCAGAGGACACGGCATATACAATCCCTTTGAAGTAGCGGTCCCCGTTGCGATAGAAACGCACCTTCTTGGCTTTTTTCTCGTTACTCAGTGCCTGTAAGGTCCTGGTTCTGTAGAAGCTACAGTGAGCACTGTGAGTGGGGCTGGGCAACCCGTTCATCCGTGAGCCTCGCATGTTTCTGGACGCCTTGTCTCTTTCGTCAAAGTGTCCAAAATCAAGTTCCATAGTTTGGTGAACCCTAAAGATCTGAAGCTGGGCAGGAAGGAGATGGGGAGAGAAAGAGTGCAAAGAGAGGGGTTAAAACCAAGCAGAGCCACAGATTTCAGGGAAAACTGACACTAATGCAAAGGCTGTGTGTGGAGCAGGACAGATGCATTTGGGAAGAGCCCCCTCCCCTGACCCAGATTTGTATCGATTCCGGGGACTGAGAGTAGGAGGGGTCCTCTCATTTTGAAAGGGATCCAGCTACTGGGGGCAGGGAGCACGTTTCTAGAGAGCTGTCTGCTCCTGCACCTGGGAGTTTTCAAAGTGCGGTAAATTGGGTCTTGGGGCCAAAGAGACACATGGCAATCACAACTCTGCCCCAAAAACTCATCTGAACACCAGTTGGCAATGAATTAAACCTCTGAGCCCTGGGAGGTTTCCTTTGGCAACAGAAAACAAGGAGATCCCAGTAAGTCAGCCCTTCAGTCTGTCGAATCACGGAAGGACCCAGAGCATTTGAATGTTTAACATTAGAATAAACTGGCATTTATGAAAGAATGGTCACAGGGGAATAAGCAGTTTCTTTGTGACAGCCTGTTCAATAAGGGTTAGCAATGAGATCCAGCCCACCCTTCCCCCTATCCGCAGCCCCCTCCTAGCCCATCAATCAATTCCCAGGACCAGCCTACATCTCTGAGAAAAAAATGACTGCAAAGAAAAATCTGTCATTGAAACGCAGCTTCGGTAAGCTCTTTTCAGCCTTATTCTCCTCTGAATTGCATTTTTGCTCCCGTTTAATGAGAAGGAGAAAATAAAGGGGCTATTTCCACCTCCCCCTTCCAGCCCTAAGTGATTTAATTGCTGGAAGTGCCCGTGCCCCAGGGACACGCCGCCCCGGCTCCTCACCTTTCATTGTTCTGAGTACGGGGGCTCTCAGCACAGAAAAGCTTAGACTGGAGCTGACACCCAGCAAGAAGGAATTTTGCACAGTCTCTAGTTTATGCTCAAGAACAACCTTCCTCCCGCACCAAACCCCAACACAAAAGGAGAAGGAACCCTCCAACCCTGCAATAGAGACCTTTCCACTCCCTCAGCTCAATCAGGAACGTGCAACTCACGTATGTTGCTTGCATGTTAACACGGGGCTGAAAGAAAATTTACACCAGTACTTGGCAGCCAGGTATAAATCTAGGAAAAGCTGTTGCTATCTCTTCCCCACCCCTTACATTTGCCAGAACGAAGCTCCTTCCCTGTATTTTACAATGTCAACGCGACCTGTGCAGGAAAAAATCATTGTGCCCACTCTGCAGTGAAGCAGATGACAATACAGCCCATCTGCAGAGAAACCCCAAGCTGGGAACATTTGCCCCACGATGCCAGTTAGGGTAGGTTCAGTCTGGTGTCATGCACTGAACAATGAAACATCCAAGCAACTTCGGGAATGAATCAGAGGATGCAGGGGGTTTGATTTTAAAATGAACTGCAGATGCTGTAAAGCACTAAGAAAAGATTCCTCCTTTCTGTTACTTTCCTGCATGCAAGTCACTCAAAAAAGCTCTACTCACCGGTTTTCAGCGCTCAGGGTGGAGATGCTGAGAGAAAGAAAACCAGGCTCACTCTGCCTTTGTTGTCTGAGCTCCAAGCAAGAAATTCCTGCCAGGGTGGATGAGACGCCTCCTAGGTCCTAGTGCCTTGCTCCATCCCTTCGCGGTAACTTTGCCTCAGTGATTTTTTACTCTCACCATCAGTAGCCTGCCTGTAGTCTGTGTTTGAGGGTAAAATGGTGTGTTCATTCCAACTCTGGATAGGTTAACAGATGGGTAAATAAAAAGTTTAAAGGGGCAAGTTTGGGGGTGATGTTTGGAAAGATGAGAATTTCCCCTTGGATCCAACTGCACCAAGAAAGCATCTGGCCTCACAAAAAAAAAAAAAAAAAAGAAAAGAAAAGATAATGGGACTGATGCCCCAATACTACAGGATCAGCAGTACAGGAGGGTCATGGCTACAGTCCTGCAGTGTGGTACAGTGCTGGCACAAGATTCCAGTGCGTTTGGAAGGCAACTAAGAAAAGCATAGACCGGTGGAACTGGGCACAGTCCTGCTCCTGTACTGGTTTTACACAGCATTCCTGGTTTACACTGGCAAGCAGAAAGGGAGGGTTCACTTGCTGGTTCTGCATGAGGTGCCCCTGAATTCTTTTTCTCTGTTAACATTGGATACAAGCCAAAGCCAGAGCGCTGAATCCCAGTTCATTCAAATTCCCGGGAGATTCAGGATGGAGTCATTCGACACAAGCTTAACCAAACAGATCCAATGTGGTTCATATCTCAAATTATGAGAAGTTTATTTTTCAATTTCCACTGCAGGAGGGCCCAGCTGTTACAAAATTGTGCTGGGTTCTTCCTCTGACAGCAAAATCTTTCACCTGCTTTCTGGGTGGAGATTTCTATCTGCAGTTAGAAGAGCAGCACAACTAACCCTGCTCCTAACCCCATGGGTGCTGGGCCCCACCTTTATTTTAGAAAAGAATAGGATTTGGAAATGGGAATCTTCCCATCTGTAGAAGGAAATCTTCCCTAACAACGCTGTGTCTGTTTCTAGTGAAAACATCAGATGTTGTCATTTTGGCACATCACAGCAGTATCACATTTACACAGAAGAAGTTGGTATTTATTCCAGCTTTGTCTGCCCTGTACATGATAGTCCAGGCAACACTGACACAAACCCACTGAGAGCTTGTCTTTGTCTGCCAGCAGCTTTCACACATGACATTTGGAAAAAGTTTCTTATTCCATGAAACCACCCTTTTATTCAAAGGCTCCCATGCATCCTCTGCTAAAGCTCTTGGCTGCTCCCTCACTACAGAGGAGAACAGGGGGAAGAACAGGGTCTGTGCTCTCCAGGGCATATTTCTGTAGGTCTCTGGATCCAGTTGCAAGAGGTATGTGGGACTTCAAGCCTTCTCTATTCCAAATTAGATAATTCCTGGCCATTCATCACCATGAGCTTTATCTGTCCAGGATTAACAATTCTTTCCTTTACCACAATACTGCTGTAAATATAAATTTATCCATGCTTTAAAAATTTGCCGAAGATATGAATCATTATGCATGTGCCAAGTACAGCAACGGGAAAAATAGAGAAAAGCAGACCAAATTCAGTCTTCAGTGGCACACAGAGCTTCAACAGAGAAGCAGCACACTGTTTGAGATGATGCCTAAGGATCTGGATACTACCCCAGGGTGATGGATACTACCTGGCAGGGTGATGTAAACCCGGTGGAATTGTACCACAATGTATTAATCTCCCAAGTTTGACAAGTTCTGAGGACAGCAATGAGTGTCAAACAGCATTAACAGATGGCTCTTGGCTTCTTTCTACATCCAAGACAATACCTGCTGGTGAGATGCAGCATGTCTGTATGGACATAACTGCTCAGGACATTCTCAGAAGCTTTTTGAAGCACAGGCACTTCCTTTTGAAAGTAGAATTACTCTAGCAAGAGAACTTGTATTTGTCCCCAGCTGAAGGATAAGGTTTTTATAGCAAAGAATGGTTATACTCTTGGTCAAAACCTCGAGTTACTCCTAAATGGTGCCCAAATCACCTTCAGTACAATTGTCCTTCTTTAATCCTCCCATAAGACCAGAGGGATCTCAGCAGTCAGAGCATCATCAGAGGTGAAGAGCCTCAGAGCCAAACTGATTTCACATATTCTCACTGAAATCACACCACACTTGCTTCTCTTGAAGTGAGAACAGGATCATCTCATGCTACAGACACTGGCACAGAAATAAGCAGCTCTTTCTTGACAAATGCAAGGGCCTGCTCCTGGCTTCATTTCTGTTGGTCAGGCACAAGAGCTCCTTCACTGGCCTTAAGGAGTTAATGCTAGTCAAAACCTATTTACATCAGAAGAGACTCACCCTCTGAGACACCATAATCTAAACAATTTTAGGCAGCATGAGTGATGGAGAACTGGAAAGAAAATTCTTCTCCCCATCAATAATTTCATCTAGCTGTAAAGGAAAGAATAAATTTAGCCTTTCAGATTAAATAATCAGCTTTAAATCAAGTGAATCATCTTTCCTCCAGAACGTTGACATTTAGACTTTAGCCTGTGTAACCAAATCCGTATAAAGACATGTTTGTTGACATTGCTGAGCAACTGTGACACTTTGGAAAGGGACAGACTACAGGTAAAAAAGGGTATGCTTTGTGCTAATTTCTTCACATGCATCTAGAAAGTCTAGTTTCTAGCACTATGAGAAGTTGCAGTCTCAAGTACTCCATGCCAATGCTCAGTTACTTTGCTATGCAGCTTCCTGACTTCTATAAAAAATTGTATCTGATAGCCCAGCACATTTTCTGAACAGGATATAAGTTAGGGTGATAGGTAGCCAAGGCCTGGCTGTATCACAGATGAGAACTATGGAAAAATCAAGTGGTCACTGCTTTTGGAGGAAGTCTTGGATCAACATTTTCTAGTCAGTCTATTTAGAAGCACATGTTTAGCTACATTTCTTATTTTAACCTCTGTTCTTCTGGACTGCTTTGAAATTGTCATCCCCAATCACCGCTTTCAAAGCTTTGCTTGATGTGAACCTACACACTGAAACCCTCTGAAATGACAAATTACTGTTTCAGGGCTCTGCCAAATGTGTCAAGGCACTGATGACTGAGAGCTCATAAAGCCAGTGGCTCAGTCTTGACCCTATAGAGCAACAGCCTTTAAATCTGAGTCTTCAAAAGAGCTGAGAGTTCATTGAAGAATTATCCTATATCAGACTATAGAGTTAAGTTTCTCCTACATAATACTGTGAGCTAATAAGCAACGGGGACTTGGCAAACTTTCACCACATAACATTTGTTTCCTTTGGAGATTTATTTTTATAGGGACCACACACATCTGCAAGTCTTTTATATAGCAATACTTGAGAGCCAATGTCAGCCCTGCTGCTGGGGAGAGAAGGGTGGAGGAACACTTACAGAGCACAGGTTTCCCACTCCAAGCCTTGTAGCCATCTGCAGAGGCTGTTCAGACCTTGAACTCAGAGGACTGGACCCTTTTCAAAGCCTGAATCACCAGAAACCCCGGGGAGAAGAAGGGACAAAGTTTTCAGTCTGGGGAAGGAGGAGAGGGTGGAAGAGAAGCTGGGCTCCAAGGCCACCTCCAGCAGCTGCCAATGCAGGACTCTGTGTCCCACAGCACCAGTGACTCCTGGGTGAGACCTGGCACTCCTCCCTGAGTCAGAGCATTTGTGCTGCAGCCCCACACCCCTGGCAGATGCCCTCAATCTGAGCAGATGACCTCAGATAAGCTCCTGCTGAAACTGGGGAGATGGAGTCCTTTACATCCCCTGAGGGATCATGGGGAAGCAAGCTGCAAGGGAAAAGGCCATTTCCTGTGCTAAGTATCTGTAATCAATGCAGCTCAATGAACTCACCCAAGATATTCCCAACACATCCAGATAGCAGAAAGCATTAAGACCCACAACAGTCATTCAAAAGAAAAATACCTTTTGCTCTAGATCTCTTCTGGCTCCATCTCCTCTCTACTACAAGCAAACCATGACAATCAATAAATCTTTCCCAGCTGAAAACAAAGTCCCTGATGGCAGAAAACAAAGCACCTCCACCTCATGGTATTTTGGGTAAACCCTGCCAGACCCAGTGAGTTCCATGAGTCAGATTTTGGTGGCAGAACAGTGGCACATCAATTTGCAAAGCTCGCAGAAAGCCATGGCAATGCTGCCACTTGCCTTGCCTGTACCCTGGGGACATGCAGAACCTCATTGAGGTTGTCAGTACATTTTTGCTGACCAAGTCATGGATGATATATGGACTGTGAGTCCTAGCCAAGGTCATGACAAATAGAACAACAAAAAAATCCAGTTGTTTCCTTTTTCTAAGGTTGTCCATGGGCTGCATCATAGTAGTTAGGAGATTCCTGACCAAGAATTTAACTTCTTGATAATTTCATTTTATACAGTAATTCTAACTGAATACCTGATTGCCAGCCTCTCTCAAAATGCCTGCTGAATGTAACATTGGCTTGAAGGACTTTCCTGATGGAATATTAAGTGATAGAAAGGAAAATCCCATCAAAGCCATCACAGGGGATCATGTCACATTCAAGATGGAAATGCAAGATATTTCCTTTCAAACACAGATCCTTTCTGTCACTCCGAAGGCAGTGACAGTGGAGTCAGGTGACACTGGGGGAACATTTGTAGAAGATAACCAAAGAGCTCATCTTACAAGCTTAGAAACCACAACAAACCATTTCAGATGTTGTTTTCCATGAGAGGCTTCCCCTCAGTACACTTGGTGAGTGTCATCCCAGACCAAACCCAGCAGAGGCTGTGGGTTTAGCCACATCAGTGTCACAGGAAAATACCTTCTCATTACCAAATAGTGAAGGCATTCCCCACAGAAGCCAAAAGATGCCTTTGGTGGCCTTAGGAGACATAAGAGCTTTTGAGCTCTGATATTCAGCACGAAATCAGACAAAGGCTAGAGGCCAAAGGAGGGCAAATTACACCAACCCGGAGTTCACACAGCCTATCTTGGACTCATTTTGAACTTTGAAATTACAAATATTTCTGAGATTCACACAACCCAACACACTGCCCGTAGTAGTAGCAGTCTTGTTTCAATCAGAGCACACACCCCTTCCTTGGAGAAGGCTCACACTCCGGCACAGCCTGTGTTTATGCCAGCACATCTGGCTTCTGGCAGCAG